CCCCCCCCTCCCCTAGTAAGAGAGCTCTCAAAAAACCGATTCAGTAGTGATGTGTGTTTAGCAGCATCCATCTCATTGGGGAATCTCAGTAGTCAAAAGCAACGCTCAAATTTCTTCCTCAAGATCGTATGCGGCTCCAGTAGGCCAGGCCTTCCATTCGGTAACGAGGAATATATGCAACTATAAATGTGCTTTCAGTATGTCTATTAATCCGGGAAGAGCTCGAGGTGCATAGCAACTCGTTCCGAAGGATGTATTAGTGAATCTCAACGTTGCTAAAAAGGTTCTTGAGCGGCTGGAGATGAGTCGAAGAGCCTCACATAGACACTTCGAAGTGTTTTTCAATGAAAGCATTCTTCTCTGTAGACATTAAAATAACAAAAAAGTGAGCTGAAATTTAGAAAAGTGATGAAATAGGTGCATGAATGGCTCTTGGAGGCACTCGGTGACTTCTGTTCAGAAGCTCAATGATACTGAATGAGTACTTGGGCCATGTAAGTAAACACAGAGCAGACTGGTATGTGAGTCAGTGCTCGCCTGGAAAGGTCCCCGACAGGAACCATTTCACGAGATGATGGAAGAAGCCGGTTCGATGCGTCGTGTAAGATTTAGCCTTGGGATTTGAGCCACGGACCATGCATACAGTGATGGCGCTTTTTTCTTCCCTCATGAGCCTAGTGTTCCGTGGTTAATGTTTCGAGAACTTTTTACTTACGTCGTCGTACACAGAAGGCTATTCTTTTGATTCAGCAAGAGTTGTATACCATTTTGGTTAAAAAGTGATGGAACTCCATCGCTATGTATGACCAGATTCCTGAAGATTTTCTCATGTTTGAGAGCCACACTTCAAGAACAATACGAATAGAATTACCAAGCCGACGGCAGAAATAGTAAGATGTTTTTTCTTTTGTTTATCGTCAACAGAAAGCAAATACGAAGTCGTTCAAGGCGATTATGGCTGTTTACTAAGAAGCACCAATTCTTGTTGGTTATTCAACCGAAAATCCAGATCTTCAACAACTAATTGTAGAAAATCGTTTATTCTCAGAACATATCTCGTTAAAAATTGAGCCATATTTCAAGGTAATTAAACAAAAAATACAGAGATATGAAATTACAAAATGATCTGGCAGTATAGGCCAAGAGGCCATCCAAAAATGCAAGACATTCATTGAAAAATAAACACCTAATAGTAACAATTCATCCCGTAATAAAACAATGAGATCTACGAAACACAAATGAATCAATCAAATGTCCGTTTTACAGGGAACAAGAGCGAGCGGTCGCGTCTCGGTCAATAATTTATCACAACGACGGTGCCCTCCTCAATCGTTTCGAAGTGGAACAAAAAGATATTATTAACCGACAGGCCTGTACTCCCATATCGAAATATCACGGGATAGTTCAAGGCTGCCTCTGAGTGAGGGACATCGGCCCAACCGCTCATCAAGCGAAATACCAATGAGGTGCACAATTCAAATTTGTCAGCTACTAAACTGCGGAATATTCGCCCCTTTGCCACGAGAAGTCGCGGAACAGTTGGCCCGGGAAGCACGAGGCGAACCGCTTCGCGACCACTCGCGGCACCAAGGTGAGGATTGCGTAATTTAGTAGCCATCAATAATGAACCTGACACTTACTTCGTCTTTCAAAATGTGACATACTACAATGGATTACATTGGTCTGTAAACGCACAAATGAATGATTCCACCGTTTATATTTTTAGAGATCAGCACTTTTGAGAATCAATTGGTCATAGTACATAATTAATATAAAGGCATCTACAGCAATACTGTATGAAATCCCCGAATTTTCTTATCACATCAATAGAATTTTCCATAGAAAGACAAGCCTCCATAATGGAAAGTCATTCCAGCTGCGCTTGTACTGCCATGTACGGTATCAGATATCGCCACCAGTACTGAAATATCAACAGTCTTCGATAATCTCTTCCTTTAACCAGAAAGTGTATAAGTCTATAGAAAAATCATTTGACCCCTAGGCTACTGGCCCACCCTGAAATTATTGGGAAAGGAGAGAGGATCCACCTACCATGATATTAAAAATAATAAAGCACAGCGGAAACATCACTCTTGATATAAGATCAATCCTTCGACTCCGTTCCTGAAGAAGTGACATATGAGGTTTCAACTTAATCATGCAAATACACTTACAATGAATTTCGAGCTAATTCAAGTACTGTTAAAGAAAACTGCTGAGGAAATGATCAGAGTGTAGGAGGGATTCGACAAAAGAAAAGTTGGGAAGGGGTAGGAGTACTTCCCTTCATTGAGAATCATTGAAAATGGGATGGAAAAGGAGAGTGTTGGTGAAAATGCAGTTGAAGGGGATGGGGACCACTGCTCTCTTTCAAAAGAGACCGCGTGAGCTAGAGAAGGAGGATCAGCCGACTATTGAACCCATAATGATGCTTAGAAGCGTTTCTTTGCCGTGACAGTTTTTCACATCACCTCCACGAGGGGAGGATCATCAGCTTGTATGAGGCGCATGAAGGTTCAGTTTTTAACCCATTCCGTTTTTTTGCACAAAGTATTCACCACGCCCACCTCCGGGTCTGCTCCCCTCCTGAATCTAACGTAGGAACTATGTTCCTTTAGCTAGGAACCGCCACTAAAAGCTCAAGTAAAGTCGACTACATCTGCTACACAGAAAATGAAATTACAGCTCGATATGGAACCTAATTATTAATTACTGTTTTAGTCTCTGACAGGATAGTTTGTGTACCCCGCAAAACAGTTGTATTTCATAACAAAGTGCCCTTGAATTCAAAAAAGGTGAATTTTGACCATACTCACCTTATAGCGTATTTTCCATATTTTATCCCACCAACTGAACGGCAAATCTTCCAACGTAACCTTAAATAGATGGAATTAGATCAAAAAGCTTCTTTCTGAGCCCGAACTGAGCAAAGCGTGCGTGGGGGCGGGCTTTTCAAGCCCTTAGCGCGTCTCCTATTGGTCTACCAATGGGAAGTGCGCAGTGCAGTATGGAAAAATCCGCCCTCAAGTCACTCTCAGTGAATCCGGAATTATGATCTGTCTTCAATAATAACTATTGTACAAAGTTTAGTATTATCTCGAATTTACAAAGGATTGTCTACATCGTCATGAATAATTCCAACCTCTTGTTGTATAGGTGCATAGAAATGATGGGAGTTTTCTTGTCGTGAGTCTGGATTCCTAAAATGAAAGGACATCGTCAGATAATTTTCCGAAAGAACAATAAGCTTTTCAAGGCACTTAGTGGAATTCGGTTGCATGGCGCATCCTGAAAGATTGGCCATGCAACCACCGTTACCAAGCTTCTGAACAACTTTTGTTTTGAAGTATTATCCACCTAAAGAACAATGGCGATTGTCGATATCGGGCCCGACTGTGTGCTACGAGATCCTGCCGTGCTGCCCAATTCACTAACGCAAATTCCAAAAGAGCACCAAAAATAAACGCTGAAAAGTATACATTGTGATACGAGGGTAAATTGGGTTACGGTATAAGGTCTTACCTAGACAAACACCAATCCATATGTCAATTGCCTTTGTATAACTGACTGGAGGCAAATTCGCATTTACACCCGATGCTTGTGTGGTCATAGTAAGTAAGGTCGTTACTCCTAGCGTGACCCGAGCCGGGACAGAATCTTTGTCTAACCTGAACAATTCAAACAGTATTTAAAACAACGCATTTCATGAATGAGTCATGATTGCTGATTGATTACAGCTCTTCCTTTCCCAAACCCTTGACCGAGGTGGACTGGTGCCAAGTAGGAGCGTCGCCAAAGACTATTTTTGTTCAATGTTTTTTAAAATGATCTGTTATGGTAAGCTGCTCGAAGCCATTGTTGTGCCCAGCAAAAGTCGCTGTTTACCTTATTTTTTTCGCTCTCATGATGCAAAAAGGGCTACGGAACTATTAACATAGTTAGTCGCCCTCTGTAAAATAACTCAAAGCACCCTCTGGTTCAATTTGGCCCAGATTTTGAACATTCACGAGGCAGTGAAATAGTCCGCCCCTATTATGTAACCCATTGTAGTCTAACTCTAACTAGAGCCTTTGATCTTAATGTTTGTGCAAGCTCTAAACCCTTTCCAATTTGAAAGATGAAGGAGTTCATGGCTCATCTGAAGAATTCAAAAGACCTAACCAACTTATTTACTCATCAAACTGTATTGCAAACATTACATAATTAAAACTTACCAAAAAGACACCCACGATACGGCGACTAGCATAAAAGATGGAATATAAAGCTGTAAAAGATAATAACTGAATTCCCTCTTGAGTTCGATGATGGTTCGAAGGCATGAATAGGCGCCTAAAAATCAATTTATTCACTTTTATTCATAAAATTTGGAGACAAAATTGGAAAGTTCGTGAGCCACCTATCTTTAGATTTTTTATTATTACAAAGCACAACCGAATTCAATTAAAAATTTAATAATAATCAAGAATTCGAAATCTTTAGGTGCAAATTCGGTATAAACCGAAGTACATACAAGTTAGGAACGTATATCAGGTGGATAAACAGGCAAATAAACAAGTAAATAAATTAGTTTTCCAGAAGTTGGCATGAAACTGCAAATTGGGGTTTAGCCAAGTACAATGGTCGTCTGAAAATTGATCAACAATTGCGCGAACCCGAACCCTACCCCTAATATCCACGAACCCACGAGAGAAACAGTTTCTGACGCGTGCAGGTTCAGCACGACAGCGCTCGTGATGCTTCTGGCTACCTTTGAGCTTCATTAATCCCGAAAACGTCGATTACTGATGTTATAGTCATGCTATTAGTTTTTATTTTTGCTGCTGCATTATAGAATACCAGTCGGATCGCTCAGCTGACGCCGGGCTCTCCTCCTTCTCATGTAATGCCCGGCTACGCCGGGCAT